CAAAATAAAAGTTTGTAGAATTTTTCATTGGAAGATCTGAATTTAAAATAAGAATTCAAGAAACAATAAAAACTCTATATAGATTCTCTATAAAGAAACGCCTTTTTTCTCATAATTTCGGCAAATCATTAAATCGTTGCCGAAATCAATTTATTAAATTTGAAATGAGAGCATTTTCCGCCCATTTTGTTTCCAATTATCGAACAGTCTCGATTGGAAAGCCCGCTTCTCGAAACTCGCAGTTATGACGGTTAGTGGCGCGCGGAACGATATATCGAAACTGCTGCGCACGCATCGAATTGTTAGCCATTATAAATGGAAAAGTTCGTGCGAATCCACGTTGTACAGTGCAAATTTGTGGAAAACGGTGGAAAATGTTCGATGCTCGGTCGTGGCATCGAACGAACGGCGAAACTGAGTGTTATTTCGAAGGGGGAAGTGCGCGCGTCGTGCAAGTGAGACGGTACAATCGACGATAGTGGGGAAGCCGAGTGTAACCGAGCGAGAGACGAAGCAAGACCGACAAAGACCCAGCAAGACCGCAACATGACGAACGCCCGGCAGCAGCCGAGGTGCGGGCAGTCTGCGCACGGACATCGATCGAAGCTCACGTTCAGTTATATCCACTCCCCAAAATTCCCGGTGTTTTCCTTTCGATTCATTGACACACCGCGTATAACGAAGTTCGAGACGCGAACGATTGCGACGCAATTTACGACACGCCGGCCCCTCGATCCTGTGAGTCGTGTTTCGATGTGGTGACATTTGTGCCTTTTGGAGAAAAAGACTGAAAATCATCGTTGTCCCGGGCCACCTCGATTCTACAATCCTGCCAATTCAACATTTACATTCTGCTAATCGTCATAAATCGATTGAACAGAAGCATGGTTTGTGGCTAACCTCTACACATTCGTCACCGGTAAGTAACGAACTTCACTTGATTGTTTAATTCATCACAATGGCGCGATTATCACCGTCTCGGCGTATCATGAATCAATTCCATTTCGTTTCGTTCTCAATTTTGCGTAATTATCGTTTCGATTGGCGTTTAGTATGTAAGATTTTCGTAGTTCGTATTATTCGATGCGTTATTGCGTTATAAAAACCACGTTTTTTAGTCCATAGCTATAATAGATAAAGACGCGGCAAACACGACATTTTAACCTCTAATAACTATATATGATTATGTGCTGCAAACATTATAAACAGTCATAACAGTTGTTCTCTTGTAACACATGGCAAAATAAATAAATGCCATGTGTTATAATTATCTCATTGCTAATAACCTTCATTTAAGAGTTGACTATAAAATAAATGTGTCGTATTTTTAATATACTTTTTCCATATATTCTCATATAGGAGAATATATAGAACAAATTATTAGATTTATTTCTATTTCTATATCAAAACTGATATAAAACTTTTTAACTTATTATTATTGAGTTTGAAAATAAATTTTAAATTTATATAATAATATTTAACAGTAGTATTAAATATATAATAATATTAAAATTCTTGATACGTCGAAATTATACGAAACGTAATTAGAATATTGAAAGCATGGTTGAATTAGATAGAATCGTCAACATTCTCAAGTAAAATTCCACGAATTTCATTCAGTTGATCCGATTATATCGTTAAGGTATAATAACAAAAAAATTTCGCTTGGGAAATGTTTTTCTATCGCGGAATGTCGTTGACATTAGTCAGAGTTCTGTGTATCGAAGCCATTCTGTTTATCGTTGAAGCGTTCCTTGGCCTCGAAAATCCGCAATGCGTCGTAACGACGAAGATGACGAGCAGGGAAGTAGTGGTCACGGCAGAAGGGCTAACCTTCGGCGTAACCTCTAAAACGATTACGAAATCTGCCCACGGAGCATGCTTTCAACGGCGGGACAGTGTTTACGAGCCGCGATACGTGGTGGACAATAAGTGCGCGACAATAAAACGACTTTGGTACCGCTATTGTCGCGTATACGCTCGTGGATAAGCGTGTGCTCGCGTGCGTGTGTTCCTCCACGAGAGAGCGAGATCGAAGAAGGGCTAAGAAGGCCGGAGAGGCTGAAAATCAAAGGTACGTTCACCGTTAATGGAACGAATGGGCCGCGAGAAGTGGGAAGATCGCGAGTACGCTTGGAAACCATCTCCTGATGGTTCTGATTTACAAGGATTTAGATCCGTGCGGTAGATAGGGCTCGTATTTAGACGCGAGACTTCGAGAGGAAGCTTCTATGGGTTTAAGTCTTCTTTTATATCGCTGTCTTGATGTTTATGATCGATATATAGATATTTTTTCATTTTTATTTTGGATAAATAATTTATTTATTTTTTTCAATTATTTTTGATAGAAATAAGTGATTTATTTTTTTTTTTAGAAGATTTTTATGAAAGATAAGACGTACAATTTTAATTTCTTTTAAAAATTTAAGGTTATATACTTTTTATAATTTGTAGAAGCTTGTATTTTATATTTTTTGTCCATTTTTCGACTTTGAAATGAAATTAATCAATAAAGTGTTCTGTATTAAGTAGAAAATATTACTGGAATTGATTCAACATCTAAAAATAACAAGAAAAGTTTATATTGCAAGTTTTGCAATATTTTATCATTATCACTTTATTTCGTAGAAGATATTTAAAATGGTTATACAATACTTTACATTTCAATGATTATATTGCATAGTTATTATTAGTTGTGATTATTTTTTCAATATTTTTTGTATGGATTTGAAATGTTAAGTAAAAACCTAATGAATTTAATTTTGGTATTCTTCTCATTTCTTTTTTTCATGCTCTTATTCCTTCGAATTATAGCGATCCAATGAATATTTTAATATTCATTTAATATTTTATGAAAATTTGCTACGGTTCATAAATAAGATCAAATAAGATACATTCTTTATTTCAATGTTTTTAGATGTTGAATCATTTTCTGAAATATTTTGTATTTATTACACAGCCTTTATTTCATAGGATTCGATTACTTGTCAGAAAAGATATTGTTTCATTTTCTGTATTTGCGAAGTACTTTGATTATACAAGCTGGTTTTGAATTCCAAAACATCTACCTATAGGATTCAGGAATGTACTTATGCAAGTATACTTTGATATTTGAATGAATCGGATATCGTAAAAGTTGTACTTGAGCCTTGAAAGACAAGGATATGCTACATACCGTGAATATCGTGTACAACCTTCACTTAGATTTTTATATTCGATATTGTAAACGAGAAAATTATTATAAGCTTTTAATTAAATTATAATATTAAAATTTTAATTATTCCATTTTAATCATTTTAAATTTAATTATTAACTTCTAATTAACTGTGGCTTTTTAGTCACAGTAACAATTTTAGTAGAACTTCTTTTCAATAATTAATGTTGCAATCGATCTTTCATCACGATGACAACATTAATCGATTCGATTAAGGAAAAGGGAATATTGAAATTTTATTATGATTTAATTTTAAAAAAACATAGGAATTTGATAGATAAATAATAATAAGGATAATAAACATAAAGAGTCGTTCAAAAAATAAGATTTTATTCCTTGGAATTTATTTCAACACGCGAATTTGCATTTTTGAAACCAATAGATTATCGATTTATGTTTTGAAAGCCAAGTTTTTATCTGGAATCTGGCTACCTGTCTTATACATGATTTAAACAGGCGTTAATGAATTACGATGCAGCAGTCTATCGATAATTTCATTTGGAAAGATTTAAATCCTAATAACTATCCAATTATTCTTTCTTTTGTGGTGCTTTTTTTTTTTTAAATTAATATGCATAATTTATAATCCAGAAAACACGTATTTTTGATTCCCAGGAATTTATCTTGGAGATACATAAGATGAATTTAGAGTATTGCTTATTACGTATTTCGAATATCATCTTTATATTTTCTACTTAAATAGCTATTAACGATTTATATTTTAGATATTTCGAATCTCTTGTAGTCAAATTTTGATTATGCATATTGAAATAATTTTTTAATTTTTTTTAACTTGAATAATCTCTTATCGCGAAGTTGTATACAGCGTTTACAAATTCTTTATTTTCCATACAATAATAATTATCGATTTCTCGTGTGATAAATAAATATTCAATATTTCGATTGAAATTCGATTCGCGTATTTGCGTCGATCAAAAAGTGAAATTTTGTTTGCTCTTCAAACTCGGGACTCCTCCAATCGTGTTGAACAACACGAAGCTGTTGATCGTTACGAATATTTCGTCAATGGAAATTTTGTACAAATATCAAACTGGTGGATGAATCGAACTAATTGGGCCGTTCGCTTAATCCACGATCCTCAAACAGAATTCAACACAACCGTGAAAGCAGTCGATTCACTTTTCCTTATCTTGACAGTTGCTCCACTTTGAAGCCTCGAACCACGTTTGAAAACGACAGTCTTCGGTATTTCCATATCCGTCGTCCTTTCTCTCGTCCAATTAAACTACAAAAGCGGCTGTTACTTAAGATGGGATTACTTCGATCTTTTAAAAGAATTTTATTCTTAAATTAAATTAGCTTCATGTTTCGATCGACGACCGAGTATCGATAACTTTTAATTAATATGTAGGTGCGAGTTGCGAGCGAGATTCTCTGTATGAGTTCACCTTCAGTTGAAATCATATTTTGAGGCGCCATAACGGATAAATGTAAAAATAAAACTGAATAATTTACATATTATATTATATTATATTTCTTTACACTTATCGAGATTTCATTTTGATAGAAAATGAGGAGATATATAAAAACAAAACCGAAAGATTTATTTATATTATCGTTGAATATTGAACAGTAATGATAATATTTAATAAATTGATTCAAAAAGTTTACATTTGTTTAAAATACAATATATTTTATGGTAAAATATTTTATGGTACAATTATTGTTTAATATTATTAATAATTAATCGGTCAAGTGAAAAGGTAAAATTGAAAAAAATTGGATTAAATTCTTTATATCGAAAAAATAAGAAGAAACGTACACTAAAACATAATGTTATATATATTACATATTATATACAAATTTGAAAATTCGTTAAATAAGTACGATCTCACGCATTTCATGCTTCCTTCGTTCAACTCGTTTTTTTAAAGAAATCAGGGAATACCATACATTTTACCATCGAATATTTCAAACGAGAATAATTCCATTACCTGAATAAGAATTAATTCACTATTGATAAAATGTTTCAATTTCAACCATTCAATCATCATAGATATTTCTCGATACCTTAAAAAATAAATTGATACAGGAATCCAATCACGAAAACGAGAGCTGCCACAAACATAACTATCATCCAGATATAAGCAAGCATTAAACCTGCCTAAGAAAAAGGAAATCTAAGTAAATTTATAAAATTACGAACATTGAAACTCATGATAGACTATATATATATAATACGAGATCGAATCTGAGCACATACATTCTTCACGGGGTTGAATGCTGGTGTTGGACATAGTGTTCATTGTTCTTCGTTACCGGGCTTTCTTGTTACGTCGACACAATATTTTTTTCGATACTTTTTCCACACACTGTACGCATCGTACAACGACGATTTTTTTTGTTATATTTCAAAGAGGTTTGGAAATTGGGCGATTTTCCTACCTTTTTCAAATTATATTTTCCACGGAATCGTCGTATCTGGCTAGTTCTTTACGTGTTTTATGGCTGTTACATTTTCGTTCCGTGATAATATAAAATTACGTGAAACATGCCGAAATGTTTATGGAACCGGTGATTAAGGCGACGCGATATCATTCCGGTGATTTACGCGTCGCGATGTTTGCCCTTGTTCAACCAGGGACTCGAATCTCGTTTGGCCTGTGTATCGTGGTTGCGGAGAGATTACTTTCATTTGCTCACTCGTTGCGCAATCGAGCAGGTCTTGATGTACGTATACGGGGTGTCTTTGAATGTAAGGATAATCT